AATATAATTTATATAAAATATTTACAATAGTGTTCAAAAAATTGTAATGCTCTTTGCAAACTTCATTCAGATTGTTTGCGAATACAAAATTACACCAAATAAAAGACATGAGTAGAGATATACATAAGAATAACTTAAATTGAAAAATTATGGTCATTTATTATTATCTGTTCTGCTGCTGCAGATTTGTTTATGTTTGCAAATATAAATGAGCATACTCATAGTTGCATCACAGATTGCAAAAACATATTTATAATCTAAGCCACAAGTATATTTATTATATTCTAAATCTCTTTTTATATCTCAAAATATACTTATTTCAGAAATATTCTTTTCCCATAAGTATATGTACTCTTTGTGTCTGTATAAATGTTTTATCTTCTTTTTAACACAGCGAATGTGTGCACGAAAAATTTCTCAGTTCTGAGGAAACAGCGCAAAAGACAGCATCGGAATGCTTCGCATACTTATTGTTCCACATAAAAAAACAAGTTTGCTTTCTTATCATGACGTATTGTGTGTCGATCAATTTATGCTATCGTTCCCAGATTAACAATGCATGATTACAATGAAATACTGTTTCAGAAATGCGCACACAATATTTGCTTAAATAATGCAGATTCATTTAATGTCAGTTGAGGCCAGAAGGAAATTTCAAAAGAGCATACGTTCCTAAAGCCAAAATCGTTGCTACTGTAATAGCTTTGTAATTTCTTATAATACGGAACGGAAATCGCAGTGTCGATTTTACAATTCTAAGCTGACGTTGCTTCTCCCTCTCTTGACGACTTGCTATCGCTTTTGCTTTCCATTCTTGCTCCTTACACTTTCTCTTTCGATCGTACTCTCTAACATCGTTAATTATAGATTCGGGGGGGTACTCACGATATAATTTCTTTGCTTTGACTAACAGCGTTTCATAAGGTAAATCGTCTGGCAACTACAAATAATAATTATTTTTATAAACTGTCGGTTCTGTAACGTAATTTTATTTGTACAGTCAAACTAAATCAATACTCACATTACACAACACTTGATGCGTATGACCCATATCAGGAGTAGTATTAAAAATTTCGGTTGCTCGATGCGCTACGATTACGGTACTTAAATAAAGAGGCATCAATGGAGGACTGCCGAGAAAGTAATCGAACAATCTGTGTAATAATTTCCTATTCTCCGCGTATTTGTGTGCATACCATGTTGTATACTCAGCCAATGCGAAGTGCGGAAATAATTCTACGCTATGATATAAAACAGATTCGATAAATGCGAGAGAACTGCATTTAAATTACACAGAAATCTGCTGTTATACTAACTTCTCCAGATGTTCCAATAAGGAGGCATGTTCTCTTTCCAGCAGTGCAAATATATAAAATAATTCTTGATTTACTTTCTCCATTGTTTTTTCCATAAATCTTTCCAGGAATTCTAACGAAATAGCCTCAAGCACATTCAAAGCCTTTTCTAAGCCCATAACAATTAAAACAGTTGCAGCTATGTCATTGTATCCCTGGTAATAACTAAGTACATATTATTTTACTTTATATTATTTGTATATTTACAAATAATCTTTTAACATGCAACCAGACAGCATCGAAACATAAAATGCTCTCTGATACAACAAACAAATAGATGATACTGACTTTAATGTAGAATGCCTATGAAGTACCCAACATATCAATTGTGTCAATTGTTCTTGAAAGGATTCTATCTCTGATTCTGTAGCACTCTGGGAAATGTGACTACCGCTACGGGCAACATCCTTTAATATTTGTTGATAGACTTCGTTCGGGACACGATCCTGTATCGTTTTTAATCCACTTATCGGTAAACTATTTTCTTCTGATAATCTTAGAAGTTGTGGCCACAGTACCCTTCTTACATCATCTATAGATCATCTTAATGATTTCAAGATTTAATTACGAGTTATGAAATTATTTTCAATAAGGAACCTGTAAGCCTAAGTTAAATACACTTTAGGCAAAGGATTGGTGTTTAATATATTTTTTTAAACCCCAATATATTCATATTTACTTTTTACAAAAATTTTATGATACATTTTACATAGAGGTTCCTTGTTGATAATAATGTATCATCGTATTAATAAAATACCATTAACAAGGCCCTCGCAACCAAGTGATCGAAGTTCTCCTAATGTCATGTCTGGATTAGCAATGCTTTCTCGTATGTCGTTTATCTTCATTCGTTCTGAATTGGTCAGGGGGTCTATATCACCAAAATCACCTTCTAATAAATCGCTATCGTCTTTGCAATTTAACACTCCGTTTTGTTTACCTGACAAACTAAAGTCCGCGATATCAGGTATTCGTGGTACAACATTATCACGCCATGCCCTCGTTGAATCAGGCATTTTAACGAGAGGCACGCTGCTTTCGGAAATCGCGTTTTTATTTTCCGTTTGATCGAAGTTCACTGTTTCAAATATATTTCTCCGTCTGACGTTCAGGTTATGCTCTTCAATAGATACTGCCACTTTCTTATATGTTTCTCGTTCACCTGAATCCAAAAACACTGTGTCTTCTTCGATCTCCATGCTTCTTGAAAGAACGAATTCATGCCAACAATTTGGCGATATGTTTCATATCACAACAAATTTACAAAAAACTCCCAGAATTTACGATCGAACGACAATCTGTCAAGAATGACATGAATTAATTACCATTCACAGTCCTCGAAATCGAATGGTTGTTTTTCTGACGTGGCATTTCGGCATGAACGAGACATGTACAAGAATTGGACCTAAAGCCTCATGGGCTTTCGTATACATATGTATATACTATGTTCACATGTATGTAACTGTTTTATCGATTAAAAAAAATAAGAATGTGATTGAAGTGACTCATAAAATTATTAGATAACTGTATCCAGGTTTAAAACTCTGAAAAAAACGTAATTATATTATATATTCTAAATACAATTTCAAATAAAATTTCCTCTTTTGATTTCAGTTGTAGTATACAACTGCGTTTCGCGCTGCGAAACGTCTAAGTTATTATGTAGCAATGATTAGACTCAGACGTGTATAATCTATGGTATCGAGATATCGCAGTCAACACTCGATCTGACTTGATCATTACACGTTAGAATAGAAGGGTTATAGTCAGTTACAGTGGGTTACGGTTACAGTTGGCCACGGACAGACGTTTAAAAGATTTATCTTTCCAGAACTCGTATCTCCTACGGAAATTAATTGAAATCACAAAATGGCTGGAATATCAGATGCTCTGTATAACGCCATTTTCAAAAGATCTTCTACCTTCGCCTTGACCATCATGGCATCCGCTTTCATATTTGAACGAACAGTCAATTTATTATCTGATACTTTTTTCGACAATCGTAACAAAGGGGTATGTATAAATAGTTATTTATAAATTCACACTTTCTGATTGATGTGTGTTCTCAGTACGTGTTGCCAGTAGTTAAAATTCACCAATTATTTCGATCAATTGTTAAATTTAATATAATGAAAAATTCTAACTCGTATGCACGAAGTGCGCTGTACATTGTACCTAATTAATATCATATTTCGACTCAGAAAAGTAAAATGGTAATATAGCTGTAAAGTATTGCATAACAGGCAAACTGTGTCTCCCATAAAACAAAAAATATGATTAATTTCACATGGATGTTATTTTTATTTCAGAAATTATGGAAAGATATAAAACACAAGTATGAACAATAAATAAACTGAATGATTTGTTGCTAGTAAAATAGGTATGTTATATTGTTAATCTTATACAAATAAAGAACAATCTTTTAAATGCATAATGATTTTATTTACGACTCTATTACTAAACGGACAGTTCTTACTGCGCTTTACTGTAAGATTGAAATAAAAATAAAAAAGAGGATATGTATATCTGTATGATTGTGTCAAACACTCTTAGAGTATTAATCGTGCGGTTCTATGAAACGACCAGAGAACAATGTTGTCTTTGTTATAGTGTCCACAATCAAAAATAAGAATGGTTTGTCCAATCTGATGTCATTAGTCCATGATGCAAGAAGTTCGAATGCAACTTCTGTAAATTTTTAATTAATAAATAAATTATTCATTCAATGAATTAATCAAACTTTAACCAAATGCGTAATATATACAGAAGAAATTTCGTTTAAGGTACCTGTATCGGCAGCAGCCAATGTTCCTTCTTCGTCTACATCTATTCTAACATGTTGCAATATACTTGTTACTCGTAGGGGACCATCGGTTGCAATTCTTGTTAAATTGGCACTAGGTGTGAATACATTTTTGATGCCCAACTGAAAGACAATAACATCCATGTTATATCGTACGGTATCAAAGGAGTCGTACGAACCAGTCATTTTTACCAGGTACTTACACGTTGTAACGTAGGCACTAAATTAAGTGTATTCTCAATACTGAATTTTGGCATGTAGATTTTGATACTCCTCTCCTTCAAGTTGGCTAGTATTGCAGACACAGGAACAGTAGACAAATCTTTGGATAGCACTTGCAGATACGGATCTTTCTCCCTCTTATTCGGCATGATCGTCAACATCGACGTTTGACCGTTCTAAAAATAATGAAACTATTGCAGCAAAGATTGCGACGATCATTTCTGATAATCACTCGTGATCCTACCGAATAAGGAATTTCTATAATCTCCGCTTCTATAGAGGATATATAAGCATATCTGTACGTCGACTCGTGGTTCATGAAATAAGTGGTCCTGCATTCGCCACTGGGAACATAGAAGCATTCGAGTTTCGTTTTCTTCCTGTCAAATGCCTTCATCCAGGCCCCTTTGAAGTAGAGCACCGAGGTCAGCAATAGATTCGTGTTAGGCGGAACATGGCTGCCGACGCCAGGCGACGAAAGGTGTCCGTGCGTTGCTTGCCGGACCCATTCGTTAATTATTCGGACGGTCTTTCCATCCTCGAAGTCTACGCTTTGCACATCTGCTAGATAGTAGGTCTTCATAATATTTTTGTAGTTTTGCAATAGGTTCAGGTTTTTATTCACCCAGAAGCAAGTCGATACATTCATCTCTGTTCCATTCACATACCTCTGAAAGCAGAGAGGATCATTGCTACTTAACGCAGATTCTCACAAAAGCACTTTGATTTCTTTATAGTATACCTTCAAGGATATCAAAGTCTCTAGCGTGCTTTGTCTTATACGAGATTCGTTGTCCGGTAATCTCAATGCCGACACGATTTCCGCTTTCGTTTCTCCGACGGATGCTTCTGTTAACATCGTTAGAGCCGACTTGACGCTGGCCGGTGATGATATTAAGTTTCCATGGTGTTCTTCGCTCAAGGTCTGTAATTTATATTCAATTGGTTCCGAAGATCGTAGTCTCTAATTCGTCACGTTGAAGCTCCTAATTGCATTATAATCTCTGTTTGATTGTGCGAAAGAATGGTAGTCTCTCTTACCTGTGTGAAATACGTATTGAAGAGATTGCCTCGATCATTGGCATTCAAGCCCGCTTGCAAAGCTTCTACAAATTCGTACACGTTAATATCTGTTGGAAAACGTTCATATTTATCTAATCCCGACACCGACTAAGGAAAGAATTATTACGATGCCAATAAAATCAACAATTTCTTTACTTGGAGAAAGCGTACATGCAAGACTACAAGTTTCTACCAAATACTTAAGCAACTGACTTAATTCTAAGGGGAAGTGAAGTGAGAAATCGATAAAGCAAATTATCGAATTAAGATCAATTGGACCATGCGTCGAGAGAGATTAACCTGCTTCCGGCATTTCTGATCCGAATTTCGACGAGAATTCTTGCTGCGAATCGTTGCTCTGTTTTCCCGAACTATTTGTAGGGTCTGTTACTTTGCCAATGTAGAGGATCGTTCCCGTTGATTCATCTTCGATGTAGAATATGAACGGATGAGTCACGTGGAACGATTCGTCCTCAATCTTGTTCCCGAGCTCGACCTCTGCGAACGAACAATTTTTCATTAGCCGAAGGATAGAGCAAGAAGCTGAATTAAAAAAACTACCTGTGGCCGCGTAAGCCGTGGTCCCATTCTCGTTCACCTCGATTCCGGCCTTTTGATAAATGTTCGTGACCTTCAGGCGCCTCGAGTTGCGTTTCGTTAATGCTATCCCAGTCAACGTGGCCGTGTCGTCGAAAATATCACGAATACCAATCTAATTGAGCAAATGGACGAATTGAGACCGTGACGTTAGAAGTGATTAACAAATTTCAATAACTTACGGTTCGTCGATAACTTTTGATGGCGTTTACTTAATGAACTATGACAATTTACGTTTACCTAATTGGCGTTTACTTAATGAACTAAGACAATTTCAAGTACTTCACCAATAATAGAACACGTATAGCATTAAAAACATAACAATGAAAATCGAATTGTTAGAAAATTTTCAATTTTCCCTTGTACTTTTAACGCGAAAATCGCAGGAAACGGCACTGCCGACAAAATGGCGGTTAGCCATCCACCAGAGCGACGCATAATCTAATCGCATAATTACGAAACAATGCAAATTTCCAACAGAATTTAAATCTTTTCTGATTTTTTGTTCAATAAAAAAACAACAACAGAGAGCGTCTTCGATAAGCTGATGCGAAAGAAAGCAATGGCGGGGCAGCCACCGCGAAGCTCGAATCAAAGCCGCGTACCTCACGAAGGACCTTCTCCAAATGACTGGTGTACTCGAATTTGAACTTTGGAAGGATGACGTCCACGGGTAAATCTTGCATGTGCCACATCTGTCTGGTCAGCAGGAACTGATTGACTTTGTTGGCGAGTCGGTCGATTCCGTCCCGGTTACGCGGCAACAGCAAGTACATAGCGAACTTGTGTCCCTGAAATTTGACGAGATAAAGTAAACCGTAATAAACGATTCGCAAACTGGAAACGAATTAAACGCTTCGCGTACATCGTAGGGCATGCGAAGAATTTTTGCGTCCAGCTCCAGGGAGTCGATGTAATAGAAACGTCCGACGCTGTGCATAAGGGGTACTTGAACGGTTCGGTTGGACCCTATGTAAAATGGCCCGTTTCGGGTGTCCTTCGACGAAAAATAGTTTCGCGACCATGTTCCTTGGAAGTAGATCGCATTCGTGATGACCAACAGCGAGTTCCTGATCGACGCCTCTGAAAAAGCGAAGGGACGTTCAACGAACCCGGTGTCTACAAGTTTTTGCCGATCGTTCCGTTAGCCCTCTTCTTACCATCGTCTACCAATTTCTCTATATTGCCATCGGTGATGTTGCTGACCCAATGGTTAATGTTCCCAGCGATCGGTCGCGCGTCCGAAAAATTCGCGGTGATCACGTCGGTGCCGTAAAAGGTTTCCACGATGGCCTGATACCGTTGTCTGATCGATATGATTGAATCAGTATAAATCCTGGTTCCGATGTTCAGCTTGTACGCCGGCGATTTGGTCTGCGAATTAATTGAAAAATTAGTCCGGAACCGGACGAGACGATCATCGAAAAGCGATACCGATTTCTTACTCGAAGCGATCGCAAGATAGTGGTGAATCTGTCTCTGGTTGCAGTTAGGGTAGCCGGCAATCGCATAGCGTAGGCGATCTCGAGCGCGGATTGGTCCTGCGCGCCCTCGTACAGCAACGCCAACGCGATCTTCAGCGAGATCGGCGAGATAAGCAGGTTTCCTGATTGCTTCTTGTTCATGGCCTGGCGAGATAGAGAGAATCATAGGAAAGGAGCGTTTAGAATTTCTTCGGGATAATTACTGTGAACAGCGTCCAGTCGAAGGCGGAGAACCGCTCGCCCTGATAGGGCACGAAGTCGTCTTCAGGGCCCTCGCCATTATTCCCGTTCGCGTTATCGATGTAACCGGCACTCGCGTTCGAAACTGTGGGATTTCCCGTCGCACCGACGCCGCTTGACCCCGACACGAGCGTGGCTAGTATCGCCGCCAATCCTAAAAACAGTATACTCGTTCTTCAAGGTTACTTCAAGGCAATTCGGTCCCACGAATGGTCAACGATCGAAGGAGGTTTTTTGTATTCTAGCTTCGATGAACTCTTTTGTGATAAATCGTAAGAAAACCTGCCGCTAAAACAAATCGGAGCAAGACCAAGAGTAAATGACCTCTTACCCAATATATTGGCGTAGTTCATGGTTGCAGAGATTCGTGTTCCGCCAGATAATTACAGTTGATAATTGTCCGCAGAGCGTGCGCGCTCTTGCAAACGATTCGACAACGCGTCGAAGCAGAATGGCAATGACGTTTTCGATCTCATCCAGCGGAGTTCAGAAAACGGGGAACCGGTCGGTCGGCTTTTATCCGTCCGTCCGTCCGTTCGTCGGCTAGTTCGTCCGTCCTCCAACTCGCGCACGTAACAGAAGAGAAGAACCGATAGAGCAAGGCAAGAGGGGACGCCGGCTCTGTACGGCAGGACGAATCAACGGGAAAGAAATGTCGAGGATGATTCATGGAACCGAACGGCAGGCCGTTAACAGATTCCTGTTTCGATGCTGCCGGTGATGCTCTTGGAAAAACACAGTTTGCGTAATTTACGCGAACGTTATAGGGGATATAAAAAAGAAAAAAAAAACAACAATTTCTCGCGATCGAAAGTCTTTTATCGGAACATCGGAATAGAAACAATGCCACTTAACAGATTTATACAGAACTATTTTTAACGTAGAAATCGAACGAGGAAAAATCACGTCTCGTTAGAGCTCTATCGGACGTTTGATTCTGCATCCGCTTCGCAGTTCCTGTTTTTCTTTTTGCGTTGTATCGTCGCGTAAATCTCTACAGCAGCCAAAACCAAAACCGCCACCGTGTATAGGCTCTTCATGATTTAAAAAAATGCGAGTAAGCTTGGCCACTTGTTCCTTCAGCTTTGCGGGTTTATTATTTGAGAGAACATTTTTGAAAATTAGTCTTCTGCTAGCTGAAGTACTAAATTTTATTCCGATTTGATAAAATTACATCGCTCGTGTAAAAATACGGGGGGTGAATGTGTTCTCCGCGAACACCGTGGACAAAAGCTGCAAAACGTAAACATCGAATCGCGCTCCGTAGAGAACGATTTCATTGGTGAACGGAAGTACGCTGGCTGCAACATCGACAGTCGACAACTCAATGGAACTCTCTTTGCGGTGGCGAAGATGCTGGAATGAGATGTCTCGTTCGTACTTTGTACCCTGTTTTAGCAAAATGCCCACTGTTATCAGTCTTCGAATAGTTCGATTGGAATCATTGATTATTGCCCGAGGCTTGATTAGTTTTCATGTGTGCGTAAGATAGCTGGGTCCAAATATCCAATTCATAAGTTTGGCTGCGAGCGAATCTTTTCCTTGTTCTAATTTGGGTACCATCCGAAAGATAAAAAGATCGTCGGATCACAATACTTTTCTTCTCGATTTGTTTTTCTTTTTTCAAGGGTTATTTAAAGACTTGAAGAAATTTTTTCTTACTCCTGTTTCACGTACTTTTGCCAAGGATAAATAGCCGTGGTAGTTTAGAACCACACGTTAATACCATGAAAATGAGTTCATTGTTGACCGAGTCATCGTACTCAAAGATACAAAGCGATTTGCTAATGATTTCCTAGAGAAACAAAAATAGCCGTCGAGGCAGGTAACTAGTTCACGCAAAGCGTTGCAGCGAACTTGTATCGCTTGCGAAACTTATGGTTCTATCGTTTTTGTTCAGTTTAGAAGGTTTCTTAACAGAAGAAAGTTCATCTTGTAATAAAACATCTCATAATTTACTCAAATTTACATATTTGTCACAGGTATTTATCATAAATTCGTAGTACAAAACTATTGATACACGCTATGTATTAAACAACGATCTTAGAAGACAATTAAAACCTATTTTTTTGCGCCAACAAAAATGATTCTTCTTGGATCTGTTCGCGCAATCGAGCAGTCTCGTCTTCGCTACTGCTAGAGTGCTCTATTATATTTTTCCTTCTATTCGTTTTCCTTCTTTTCTTCGCGTTATCTATGCGTCCTGCACGTTTCCTTTTTCTCCTTTCCAACTCTTGCTCTGCTTTTTCTAGTTCGCACAGTTCCTCGACTTTGGTCGATGGCTCTTCATCATCTCCTACGCAGAAGGAATCCTAAAACAGAGCAAAAAAAAAATGTAAAAGTTGTTATATTCATACTTCATACTTTCTTAGACAATTTAGAGCAGCCATGTGGGCGTAAAGAGTTAATACAATTCTGATAAATAAAGTACGAGTTATCGTTTAACATACATTCATGTAGGTATCATAAGCCTGCGACACAGGCTGCGAATAGATTTCAATGTCAGGGTCGACGGCTTGCGGTTCCTTGAAAATGAACCCGTCGCGTCTCTTCACAGGACTTCTAATTGTCTGCAAGTAGTGCGCTTTCATGTCAGAAGTGTCGTGGACATTCTGCGTGTAACTGACAAAATCCTCGAGCTCTTGATCAGTTCCGGAACTTTCTTCGGTAGTGTTATCGTCGTCGTTCGGGGAAACCTGTGCCTCGTCATCGATGAATTGATTCCTTACTTTCTTCTGCTTGTTTCTCCGTTTGTTCCTTAAAGTGGAAAACGCTTCCAAACGTTTCGACTTAGCATTGTTGACTCTCTTGCTCTTCACATTTTCTCGTAAATCCTCAAAGAAGTAACTGACATCGAACTGGTCGCTTTTGTCCTTTTCCTCGAAGAAGGAGCTACTCTGTACATCAACTCTATTCTTAGTTATACTGTTGGAATTCCGAGAGCAATTGCGATTTGAGATATCGTTCTCTTCCTCGAAGGAGCTACTAATGTCAACTCTGTTCTCAGCTACATTGTCGAAATTCCGAGAGCAACTGCGATTTGAGCTTTTGTCCTTTTCCTCGAAGAAGGAGCTACTCCGAATGTCAACTCTGTTCTCAGCTACATTGTCGAAATTCCGAGTGCAATTGCGATTTGAGCTTTTGTCCTTTTCCTCGAGGAAGGAGCTACTCTGAACGTTAATTCTGTTCTTAGCTAGACTGTTGAAATTTAGAGAGGTATCGCGCTTCAAGTTCTTTCTAACGCTTGATAACTTTTTCGCGATACTAGTTACGGGAGTTGATTTTTTGACCGACTTGTCAACCGTGAACCATTCGTCATCTGAATCCCAAGCCGTGAAACTACTTGTGCCTCCTTTGGATTCGTTTTTCTCTTCTTTGACCGAATTAAACGAAGCATCATTTTGCTTTGAGTCACAAACTTCAAAATCATCGTCCCATTCGAACTCCTCTAATTCAAATCTTGAGTCGATCGATTTCTTCTCCCTATCATTTCTAATGTTCAATTTTTTTAGACCAGTCGGTATAACTTGTTCAATGGAACACTTAATTTCCGGTTCATTTCGTGCAATGGAACATTTCATTTCCGGTTCACTTTGTACAATGGAACATTTCATTTCCGGTTCATTTTGTACAATGGAACATTTCATTTCCGATTCACTTTGTACAATGGAACATTTCATTTC